CCCCAAAGGGCCATCTCTCTCTGCCGGTGAAGGTGTGGTGTTAATGGTTAGTAAACTAATTAGTCGAAGGGACAACCTTTAGCCAACAACAACCTTTAGCCAACAGACTAGTAAAGTGTAAATGGGTATGATAGAGAGAGTAAAAGAGCTTAAATTTGCTAAAATTTTAAATACACTTTCACGCATTAAATGAAAAGATTATGCATGAATTTTCATAATTTGCAAATGAGAAAATTCTGGTATTTGTCTATCTAAAACGTTTGCTTGCCAAATATATCAACAACATTCGGCTTTAAATCGTTTTCAACACAAATTCTGAAATAAAGTTGATTTGTCCGGACACTTTTGGCCCCATTGGATGGCATGATTTACTATATTGTCCAGCGAATGTGCGGATGCGATGGTAATCCAAAGGATTGGGACCCAGCAGCCGGGCATCCTGCGCATATCCTGTCCACCCATGGGGCCGTGCAATGCAGTCCGGGCATCGAGGTGCAAACGAAACGAGAATGAATTATACCATTTTGTATGGAATCAATTTATGTGAACGGCAGCACCTACGGGGTGCGAGGATTCTCGCTCTCGTCCTGGCTATCCTGCTGCTCCGGCTCGTTCATTTCCACGCTGCCACGTAGTGTCATCGTTTTCGCTGAGATATGCAAAGCACACAGGACAAAGCGAAAAGGACGAGCGAAATGTGCTACAAAAGGAGGACATCATTCGGTCCTTTAAGAACTTAATTAACTTTTCGTTTCGCCTGTTATTGTCGCATGGCTCCGACTCTCTTGTGCATCGGTGTTGCCCCTACTATCCTGGTGGGACCGTAAAAAACATATATCCCACAATATTTAACTGTCACATTGTGCGACTTTTTACGCTTCGGCAGACGCATAAACAAACCGCACTGCGTGCAAAAATATTCTCAATATTGTGACTGGAATACACACAGTCTCGTCCTGCCGAAGTATTTAATATGTGAGTGCGTGTGCCGAAGGAGCCTGCGGTTTTTGTGCATTTTAATTGTAATCAGTCGCCGTCGGAGCAGGGAGTATATATTTAAACTGGCTTCTCCTACAGTCAGGTCAGGCTTACTTAAGCTTTAGCAAATTATTCAGACTGTCAAATATATGCTGTATGTGTTTGCTTGTTTACATTTTATTTATTTGTTTATCCCGTGTCCGAACGCACGCTTATCAATCTATGCTATTCGACTCTGGCAAATATTTGCCTGGCCAATAGATGGGCGTGCGTGTGTATATCCGGCTCTCATCTTGATTAAAAATGTTTATTTAATTGAGACGACAGGAAAATCGATAGGTGGGGAAGCAGCTACCCGAGGAAATCCTCGGGAGAATTCCGCATTCCGAGCTTTGAATGGAATGCCCTGTGGCCGACCACAAAGTGTCTCAATATTATGAGGTGATTGCCATGTAAATGATGTGCAAAGCCACAATCGATGCTTGGCGTGTATATACATATATATTTTTAATCGCTCTTTAATTGATTTACTCGATGTGGCAAACATTTCATAATTTAACCCCTAATTGAACGTGAAATTCTTGAGCAATTAACTTGGCGTTGTGATGTTTTCTTTGAAAACTCATATTAGGCTTAATCAAAATGGATACATTTTAACTCTGTTTTATGCATTTTAAACTGTGCTCTGCTTTAATTCAAAGTTAAAAGTGTTGCCGAGACCATTAATATTTTATTTGTTTTACAGCATTTTTCAGCATTTTCCTCTGTGCAAATAGTAGATTGTAATGAATGCCAAGCCGCCGCTATAAATAAATGCATATTGGACATGTTTGATTATTATTTCAGGGATCTCACACAAAAACTGGTTTGATTATTCCTTTTTGCAGCCATAAACAATCGCATGTGGGTAAGCCCAGTTATAGCCAACGACCCCCTGATCCTTTGGCATCAGGTGCGTGCCAGGATTTTGGTTTTTTATTTTCCAATTTTTTTCCAGCACTCGAACCAAGTGACGGGGTTCACACGCTTTTTCCTGGACTCTGTGATGCACCTGAAACCAGGGGCCAACTGTAGAATTGCAAATTCTGATTTCAAGCGGATGGCACTGGATCTACCATTGGTTATGCATCGTCTTGGGGAGTCGATAGCCAGGTCCCCCGGAAGGATAGATATATTCGAGGCGAAGCATAAACCAACAGAAGGTGAAGCAAGGAAGCAGAAGGCGAAGAACTGACGAGTCCAACGAATATGTAAATATTGAACGAGACAATCAAATATGCAACAGTATTTTTCCCCGTTTCCTCCTTCACAGGACCTCTTTCATTGACAAAAGGGTTGTCTGGCACGTCCCAGGACTACATAAACAACCAAATCTGTCCGTCCGGAGGGTATCTCGGGTGTCAAGAGCTCCTCTTTCTCAGGCTTTCTCTCCATCTCAGTTTTTGTTTTTTTTCAGTTTGCCCCTTTTTATTCCTTGGCCTTAAAAGCCTTAAATCAACATGTAGCCCGTAGAAATGATAAACTGGAAATGCACAATTCATGAGGCCAAAAGTCGGTCTAATGAAAATCAGGGGATCATAACTGCTCATTCCGGCATTCGGCCTAATAGCCTCGATAAAAAGCTGCTGTCATTGGTTTATCTTAACTTATTCCTGTACCGCAGATCAGCTTACATATGTGAGTGGCACAATGGGTATATTCCAATGAGTTCACAGTTGCTTAAAAGTAATTCACTTAGGGAACAAACCACCGACCTTGCCTCCTTCCTCCTAGTCAGTTGCAGGCGGCAGCCTTGTATTATGTATGCACTTGAGAGAGCACACAACACACACGCATACAACTTGTAAATAAGCCATGCATTTATATTGTTTTCCCTTCCAGCGAACCGAGTCGAATTATTCTTGTATTATATGCAAGTTGTTCGCATCTTTAAGCGCTTTTTAAGTGCAGCAGCGGGCTGGGCTTGGATGAGCTCTTGGGACCCATTCGAGGTTTACCAGCAAAGTGCTCGATAGTTGCCACATGCACTTGGCATAATTCGAACACAATTGGCCCTTGACAAGGCTGAAATACATTTAAACAACAGAGCGAAGGAGTTTACTTTAAATATTTGCTTTAACAAATAAATATTTATCCAGCACAAAGTCACCTATTAAACCCTTGCTTTAAGGTATATGTTTTAAATAGAGTTACAGCTCATATAAGCCTAACGATGCTGTTCACTTGAGCGAAAGCTAAAGAATGATCGATTCCCTATGGAATACTCGTCTCAAATACCATTTAAACAATGACACTGACATCTAGACATCTCGTAGAATTGAATATGCCAATCTGAAAATCACCTTTTACCCTCGAAGGCCTCCTCTTGCCCGTCGTCCTGATTTCAACTTTCAATTTGCTGAACAGCGGAACAATGAACAATGAACTCAGGGGTTAATAATAGTCCTGGGTTCACACATTGTGTGTAAGCTGCTGGCTCCTTGGCAGTTTGCTTTTGGCAAATGTTTACACGAACTTTCCTAAGTTTGCCCATTCATTGCACCGACTTTGTTGGCGAAGTGCACTTTGCCGGCTTTTTATGTGCAGGAAGCTGTCAATATAGAGGCCAAAACGCGATAAAATATGATACTGGAGCACGGAATGACACAAACACATTCAAGGGAATCTCTTCCATTCCTTATGTTCTGTTCGAGATAGTATTTCAAGGATTCAATATCCTGTCGGCAGAAGAAAATAGAAATGCTGACTTTGTAGATTGCGCTAGCTTTAGTTGGACATATAATACATATGATTTTGTACTTGAAAGAATAAAATTAAATCTTTTCTTTAATTTAAAATAATTTGGTTATTCCTTAAAGTGTCAATAAATACAGATCAATCAGCAGAAGTCATTGGTTATAACTTAATTCATAAAAGACAGGAAACTAACTTCACAAAGTCGACTCTTATATTCTCTTGCATATAACTAAGCTTAAGATATTGCTGTTCAATCCATATCCATAAATATCTAAAAGATTTTTATATGACAATTTTTCACACATATCAAAGTTTAAAAAACTTATAACTAAGCCAAAGATGCTTTAATTATACTTTGGAAAGTTTAACAATGTTAGTTTTTAATAGTTTAATAAGTATGCATACTTAATTTATCATTTAAGAAAATTAAAATTTTTGCCAATATTTGATAATTTCAATGAAGTAACCCCCTTATAACATTTTCTTTAAAATATAGCTAGATCGACTCGCCTTTTAATGCTGATTAAGAATATTTATATATACATTTATGGGGTCGGAAATGATTCCTTCACATTATTATAAGCTTCTGACTAAAATGTAAATACCCTGCAAGGCTATAAATATATTTTCAGTTTATAATATTAACAAGGACTAGAGGAAATTACAGCTTTTCCGCTATATATAATTTTGAAGTCAGCTAAAAGCTGTTAATGCCCATTTATAATTCTTAAATCGTAATCAGCCTGGCTCGAAATAATTACTGAGTATTTATTTCACAACCTGTCGCCGGTTCCCTGTGGTCTGCGCTTAATGGTCGTCGATTTTAATGGTCTGCCTTTGCGTTCCGCCCTCCATGTTGTTCTGATGCTGTGTGAAAAATCACTGCCAGCAGGCTTCATAATTGCCACGCCCCCTTCGAGACCCATGGAGGGTTTGGGGCGAGGGCGGACATTTGTCTGTCGCCAGCAGTCGTCGTCGCGGTTCAGCCTAACGGCCTATGGGCCAGCGTTGACAAGCCATTTGTCACATTTACACAGCCGCAGGACCAAGGTGGAAGGTGGAAGAAGAACCCTCAACATTCACAACCACACCTGCTACCTTCAGGTGTTTCTTTATCATGGGGCGATGGCATTAAAGCGGAACAGCGAAGTTTGAATCCACGGCTGACCCAGTTGGAGCCACTGCCAAGGCGGGGATTTATGGAAGAGCCTTTGAATCGCTGCCAAATCAATTTGCGGCCAAGTGTTTTCGGGGACGAGTGACTACCACGTGCCCACAGCAAACAAAGCTTTCCCAGTCAGTCTCCACAATCACACTTTGGGCCAGAGATTCTTGCAACAACAAAATAAAACCTCCCAAAAAAATTATAAAACATCCAAATGAACCTTGTGCGGAGGCTCCGGGTGAGCCAGCTGGGATCATGGATCACTACTTTTCGGCCATACTCCGGCAAGGACAAGGACAAGGATAAGTCCAAGCCTGATCCCAAGAACAAGCCCAAGACGGTTCCCAAGACCGAGCCCAAGAAGGATCTTCCAAAGGCTCAGGTTAAGACGCAGGATAAAGACAAGGCCAAGGGCAAGGCAAATGACAAGGGCAATAACAAGGGCAACAACAAGGGCACTGACAAAGGCAAGGACAAGGGCCAGGGCAAGGGCGAAGACGAATTTGGCGAGGCTGATGGGTTTCCAAAAGACACCAACAAGGTGACCTTGATCAATGGCGAAGGCGTGGGTCCTGAACTCATGAGCGCCGTCCAGGAAGTGTTTAAAGCCGCCAAGGCCCCCATCGAGTGGGAAGTCCATGACGACTTCCAGGTTTCACCAGATAATGAGGATGTGTCGCCGGCGGTACTCGAAAGTCTGCGCAAGAACCGAGTGGGTCTTAAGGGACCTGTGGAAAGCCGGCACTGGCAGCGTCACATCCGGAAGCAGTTCAACCAGTTCGCCTATGTTTCGGCCTGTAAAAGTATCGAGGGCTTGAACTCGCCCTACGGCGAGTTCGACATGTTGATCATCCGGGACCAAATGGAGGGAGACTACTCGGGCATCGAGCATCGTGTCGTGCCCGGAGTGATGCAGACCATTAAGGTGTGCACCACCAATGGAGCCCAGCGACTCGCCCGCTACGTGTTCCTCTATGCGACGCGGAACAATCGCAAGAAGATCACGGTGGCACACAAGGCTAACATTATGCGCATGACGGATGGTAACTTCCTGGACGCGATGCAACGTCAGGGCGACAGCTATAAGCAAAAGATCAAGTTCGAGGATCGTTACCTGGATACTGTTTGCCTGAATATGCTGATGAAACCGGATCAGGCCGATGTGCTCACCTCCTCCAGTATGTACGGCGACGTGATGCGAGTGATTGCTGGGGGCATGATGGGAGCAGTGGGCATCTGTCCCGGTTTCTCCGTAAGCCCATTGGGCACCGTCTTTGACTGCCGGATGAAATCAAATCTGGCCAATCCCACGGGCCCCCTGCTCGCCTCTGTCCTAATGCTGCGCCACATAAAGCAGGATAAGTTCGCGGATCGCATCGAGTGCGCTATAAGAAAAGTTTTCCGGGACACGGACATTCGCACCAAGGATATGGGCGGTACGGCCACGGTTTCAGAGTTCGTCGAGGCCGTGTGTGACGGCTTGGAAGATAATTAAGCGTTGTATTTGAGGGTAAGGGAGATATATCCAAATTCAAAATTTAAGTTGGAGACATTGGAAGACATCAAATTTACGTTGAATTAGAACTTGATTATTACTTTGGAAATTGTATAATGTTATAATAAAACTAACATCCCTATAGGTTTGTATTTTCCTTGCCCTATACATTGTGATAACGAGCTTTCCTTTTTGCGGGAAAACTATCGCTAAACTAAACACATTTATAATATGTAATTACCTCCCATTTAATTCACTCGCTTCGCTGAGGTCATAAAAGTCGCAATTCGCTTGGCTATCGCTGGCAGTCGTATATTTATATAGCCATCCTCCTTGGTGCCCTGTTCCCTGTTCCACCAGATCTCTGGTGCTTGCCGTGCATTTCGGCAGATTTATGGCCGCCTGGCATTAACCGCCGCAGATGCCAGCTGCAGTTTCCTTCGCTGGGTGCCACCGGTGCTGCCCCTTCTTCCATTTTCGGCTCTTAATTAAGTTGCATTTCGAGTCCTGCCACGTGGCCAGGATCAGGAGGAGCAGGAGCGGATAATAAAAGCACATGTTGACATCTGCCCACAGTGTCAGGAGGCCATTATGTACCTATTCGCTGGATGTTGGATGTTGGATGTTGGATGTGGGTTGCTGGCTGCAAATGGTGGTTCCATTCGCTGGCTGGCCTGGCCTGGGTAGGATCTTTTAGTGGCGCTTAAGCTTTTTACACATTTTCGTTTATGGTTGCTGCCATTTCGCTGTTTCGCTTCCTTCTCTCGGGACGTGCTGTCAAGGCTGTGCCTATTAGTCCTTGGCCGAAAGGATGCCTTGTTGTTCTTGGAGCATCTCTTTGTTTCCCTCAAATTGGAATGCCATAAAAGTGCGGAGGTATGTGTGTGTGTGCTAGCTTATTTAAAAATCATCTCATGGAAAAGTCTGAGAAAAGGGCAGCTTATTCCTTCTGTCACTGGGCGCTCTTCCATTTGAGCCCCGGCCTGGCCCTTATCCTCTTCGCATTTCGCCTTTCCTTTCAGCCTTCGCCCCGTTTTTTCCCTTACGCCATGGCGCCCTTTTTCGTATCTGGTGTTTGTCTGCGTCGACTTCCGTTTCCGGTTGCACGCCACTGCCATTGTTTCTGGCCATGCCTTTGCCCCTATTTTTTTTATGACTTTTGGCACACACGAATATACCCTGCCTCTCCCCCCGTCGTTTTGTGCCTTTTGTTTTCTGTTGACTTTTGATGAATTTTTATTAAAAGCAAATGGGCAATGCACCAAAATGGAAATACGAATCAAAATCAAAAAATTGGAAGCAGCAGGAGCAGCAGCAGCACAACGTGCTCTTGAACGAAAATGTCGATTCAATTTGTGGTCCATGCATTCAAAAACGAATGCAAAATTGAGGCTAAATCCTTCGCCAGACTAGGTGTTCCCTTAGACTGAGACTCGTTATTGCACTCTTGTCCGAGGATTTCAGTAATTTTATAACAAAATTGAGCCCAATAAATGTCTGCCTGTAGGGCACTCTCTCTGTATTTATTTCTTTGTTTTTCAATTGTGTAACCTTTGACCTTCTCGGACCTTCGGCTCCAACTCCAGTCAGATGGAAGTTTGTTTGTTTCCTGTCAAAGCAACGAACTGAGAATAGGAAACTGAAATTGACTTGCCCTTGGACCCTTACCAAATAGCTAAAAACTTCAGTAAATTACGGCTGGACGGCACACAATTAACCCCTTGAAATCGCTGACAGTTGCCATGGCTTTTGTAATTCGGCCCCGTGGGCATCATTTGCACATTGCCCTCGGTTGATAAGGTTGATCGGTGGGCGGTTGGGTTGTCCTGCGACCTTGTCAGAGTTTGAAGTGATTTGATTTAATCATCGACGCGTAGGCCAGGACAACGAATGGCAATGAATAATTCATTGGGGCGCTTAACAACCTAAATTGCCTTGGGTGATGGGCCCTCTGGGTACTGTCTCAGAAGTTTATCATGCTTCCAAGCTAAATTTAAATCTCAGTGTTTTAATTGACTTATCAAATCTGTTAGTCGAATTATAATTTAGCCTCGATTTGCAAGGGGTTTTTGAATAAATAAAGGCAGGTTGGGAAAAATAATTAAAGATAATTATGGGGTTAGCAAGGAGATATAACAATTTAAAGAATATCTTTGAATTACATAGATTGCTGATTAATTCAAACCTTAAACTAACTTACACTTGATTACTAAACCTTAAACAATTTTTAAAACATTTTTAACTCTTGCCAAGTCCATAACTGCAAATGCAGCAATTGAATTAACCACATCCTTTGTCCTTCCCTGCACTTAACTTTGTTCCTTGTTTCGCCTCGAGCAGAGTCATAAGCCAATAGCAAACATTTCCTACATTAGGGCAGGACATTTTTACCTGCTCCTGTAGCTGTGCTGTTGCTGAAAGCGAAAACAGAAAACAGAGAACAGGGAAGCTGAAATGACTCTGCGATGATACATGGCTGGCAGCAATGCAATTAAGAATGCCACCGACAGCGGGATAGCCCTCTCTCTCTCCTCTCGGACCAACTGAAAATTCCTGCGAAATCCTCCAGAAATCGCACCCAAGGCATGAGCTCCATGAAACCGAATTGAGCCGAGTTGAGAGCATGTAATAAACAATGGCAAATAGCGCTTTCGAGTTGACAGCGGAACACTAAAGCGGTAATTGCATGTAAACATCGTTTGTGAGCGGCGGCTGTGGCGGTGCAATGCCTGCGGCGATGGCATAATTAGTGTGTGTGTGTCATTAAAGCCATGTACACAGTGGAGTTTTCACGAAAATAGATTTCATTGATTAGAAATCCATAGACCAAATATAAAAGTTTATCAAGCATTATTGTTAGCTTAGTGATTAGGTAAAGTTCAATTGTGGAGTCCATGTGTTCCATTTTTAACAAAACTTCGTTTACTTAAGGTTGAAACTGTGTCTTGTATGTATATGCTATTCCTTCTTGTATTTCACCTGAAGAAAGCGATTTTGTCCATTGTTCAAGTAGCTGAAAGGGTTGTGGTATCATCGACCTTCAGTGGTTTGCTGTGCGTCTTCTGCAGATAACGACTTTGGCGTCCACGTCACTCAGCTGAAGTAATCGGAGCCCTCAGTCCCGAAGATATCCATTCCAGAGTGTGTCCGTCAATCAAACAATTGCCAATGGCCTGTCGAGTCAAAAGCCTTGAGTACATTCACCAGGCGTCAACGCCAGGATTGGTCTGGATGAAGATTTGAACAAAACTAAGCCCGAAAATCAAACCGTGCGTGAGAGCAAATGTCAATCAGAGTTATAGGAACCTTACATAGTTTTAAAGAGTTTTACTGGAGAAATATTTTATGCATGAAAGTTAGCAGTTATTTACCCTTGCATTTTGCGATTGGATCATGATATCAAAGGAAAAAAGGAATGCAATAATTTTTATTCGGGAGGCTTTTCTTATAAATCTGCAAACTCAACTCAAAATTTACAAAAAATTTAAAATTTTATCAATTTTTCAAAATTTTAAAGATGTTATCTTATTCAAATTTTAAAAAATGTATAACATTTCTTTCTTTCGTTTTTAGGTAGATCGACTCAGCTGTTGATGTTGATCAAGAATATACACGATTTATAGGGTCGGAAATGATTCCTTCATTGTGTTTGAAATAATAAATATAAAAATACGTATAATAATAATTTAAAAATACTCTTTAATAGTTTAAAATATTTCCATCTTACCACATGGCGTATGAGTAATATAAGTAGGTTGAGGAATATCACTCATACGCCATGTTCACAGTTGGGAAGACATTAAAAATATATATTTGAAATTCGAAAAAGAAAAGAAACTTACTTCGAGAAGCCGAAGTGAGTATACCCTTGCAATTAGGTATTGGATCATGGTAATATATTTAGAGCATAACTAAGCCGAAAATTCATTATTTGCATTCAATCATTTCAATTCTGAAAGCGGCTTTGTGCTAGTTTTTATAAAGTTAATGACATAGCCAGATCTATTCTGCTGATCAAGAATATATATGATTTATAGGGTCGAAAATGATTTCTTCACTGCGATTTTGACTTCTGACTACAATAATTATACCCTTTAAGGGTATAAAGAGTAATTAAATAATTAAATGTGTAACAAAATGAGAAGATTTCCATATAAAATCCAAACGTTTTCAGGGCATGTCTCTGGAGTATCAGATTCTGTTGGCAACGCAGAATAATGTAATAGATTCTATCCAGCAAGCTGCAGAGTCAAGAAGGAAGCCAGCGATTTGAACAATCTGCCACAGAATTCATGGAGGCGCCTCCCGGCTCCGCAATCTGAAAAGATGTCGTGTGGGCGTGGCTAATGGCAGCAGCAGGCCCTCAGCTCAGCGCAACGATTGTGTTTATGTTTATGCGCGTTTATTTACGACTTTAAATTTGAATAATTTATGATGGCGACGATGGCCGGCCAAGAATGCAGCGAAGAGGAAGGCTGTGTGTGTGCCCAAAAACAGCAAGGACTCGCAGGACACTCCAGTTTCTAGCATCAGCAAAGCTCACAGCTATCCACTCCCACTTCTCCCAAAAACCCAGAAACAAAACAGGACGTGAAACATTGAATTTGCTTGACCAAAGAACTACGGATCCGGCAACTGTTGTCCGGCCATCCGAGCTGCGCATAACCCTTGGCCAAATCGAGCAGATTGCCAATGTGCAGCGGCGGAAACAGCGGTTGCGATAGCCGTTGAACACAACCGGAAACACAAAATGCCGCTATCGACCGGAAGGTAAATTATTGCAGCATTCGGACTGCCCGACATTTTCATTTTCATTTTCATAACCGTAAATTGTTGCATTTGGCGTGGCGGCAGTTGCCATGACAAAAGGTGTTCATATATAACAACAGGGATCAAGGGCTGGCCATTTTCGCACGGAAATTGACCATTATGCGGACTGTTGAAACCAGAAATGTGGTAAAAGTCCTATTTCAAGTACTTGTACTCCATTAAATAACCATTTTATTTCATTTGAAGGGCTTAAATTGTAATAATGGGTCTTTATTTACCTTCATTTTATTATTTAAATTGTAATTTTATTGATTTGCCGTGCCACTTCCTATTGTTCATATATTTACTCTTGTTACCATAGTCTTTGATATCTCTCTTGCCTGAAAGGTTGTTGCTATATTTCCGATATGAGTTTTATCTTATCAAAGCTATACGAATTTAGTTTTAATTAAAAACTCGGGCCCATAAATATGTTAATAAAATATTAAACAAAGTATAATCAAAGTTATTAGCTTACAAAAACTCTCCAGTAATTTCAAATAAAATAAAACACACTTATTTGACTATTATTAAATTCAATTTTTAATTAACACCGTATAACGGTGTAGCAAAGATCAACCTTGAGGCAAAGACTACAGTTTTTTGGGCTCTATTTTAAAGACAGGTAACTCAAATGTATAATTATTAAATATTATTAATTATTTAAGGTGGGGATCACTTCTTCATAACCTAATTTTTAGTATCCTCAAAGACCTGGCGGGCCAAACTACGCATAACCTTGCCGTTGGCATTCTTGGGGAACTTGTCAACGAAGATGACGCCGGCATTCAAGTGCTTGTACTCCACCACCAGCTTCTGAGCCACATGCTCACAGATCTTCTCGGCACTAATATCAGCGCCCTCCTTCTTGATGATCAAAGCTCCGGCAGCGTCACCATATTTCTCATCCCGTACACCCACGACACAGACATGCTTCACCTCCGGCAGCTCGGCGATCACCTGCTCGATCTCATTGGGCCAATAGTGCTTGGACTTGTACTTTAGCAGGTCCTTCTTGCGGTCCACCAGATACAAGTTGTTGTCCTCGTCAAAGTAGCCCAGGTCGCCAAGGTTGATCCACCCGTTCTGGATAGTGGCAGCCGTATCCTCCGGATTCGCCAGATAACCCTCCCACTTGATGCCAATGTCGATGAGAATCTCACCCGTCTGATTCACGCCCAACTGCTTTCCGTTTTCGTCATGGATCTTTATCCTCATTCCAGGGGCCAGTCGACCCACCGAACATTCCAGTGACTGGTCACAATTGATGGTAACCACACCGGTTTCCGTGGTTCCATATGAGAACATGACGTAGCAGTGGGGCATCAGATCCTGGGCGCGACGCAGCAGAGCCAGCGATATCCAGCCACCGATCACGAAGGAGATGTTCAGGCTCTTCAGGCATTCTGGAGTGGCCAGGGGGCTGGTGTATAGCTCGTAGGCCTGCCAGGGAGCCATGGCTAGGCAGGTGACCTTGTACTTGGACACTATATTGATGGTTGTTTCTGCGCTAAAGGGTTTGCTGGACAGGATGCGGGTGAAGCCGCAAATGAGATTCATGACGGTAATCGAAAATCCAGTCATCCAGTCAATGGTGGCACTGGTGTACAGCACATCGGTGCTGATGCACAGCCTGCAAATTAGATTGGGTTAAGATTGAAAATGAGGAACTGTATGCCTTAACACTCACGAGTTGGTGGTGCACACGTGGCGGTGGGAGAGAGCCACGGCCTTGGGCAGGCCAGAAGTTCCGGAAGAGCACAGAACCACGGCGGTTTGGTCACCACCATTGACCAAGGCAGCGGGTCTAAAGGTGATCGTATGAATCAGTTGAATATAATAATTATTAATATATACAATTCCTCCGAACTCACGCATAAATCTTCTCGGCGGGATGGGGCTTCACCAGATCCTCAATACTAGTCACACCTTCCACGCGACCCGTCAGTGTGATCAGCTTGGGGGACCACTCTTGGGTAATCTCTTTGATCTTCTCATAGTCCGCACCATCGATGAACATGATCTTGGGCTTGGTCACCGAGTACAGACCCTTAATGATGGCCGGCTCCCGGGAGTAGTTAACGGCATGGAAGGGCGTGGCTTGGAAGAAGCAGGCGGTGGCCAGGGGAATCACGTAGGTGTTGGAATTGGCGATAATGCCGACCCTATCCTCTTGGGTCAGGCCCTCGCTCTTGAAGTACAGGGCAATGCGGGTGGCATAGGCCAGCATATCGGCGTTGGTCAGCACGGTTCCATCGTCGTCGTTGATCTACTTTTATATAATCGAGCTCATCAGACCCTGTGTTTCCTCTCCCTGGGAGGTAACTCCTTCGGCACCTACCTGAATCACATTGGTGGGCCAGCACTTTAGCGAATTGAATATGACCTGACCAATGGAGGTGTTCTGATCATAGAGCGTGGCCCGGGGCACGCCACTCCATATTTTTGTCTCCTTATTGTAGAAGGTGGGAAAAATTGCCTTGGTCGGCATTTTGCTAGTCCAATTTGAATTCGCTTCTGAGCTTCCATTGCCAATGCCATTGTCTTTTTATATTGCCTTTGGGGCCGGCTGTTTATCATATCAATTTCACACTTAATCAAAAATTTCGACGAAAAAGAGTCCAAAGTTTATCCAAAACCTGAAAGCCAGATTAGTTGAAGATTCTTGGCACTCACACCATGGAGTGGCAACATCAGCTGATGTTTGTTATGCTGGGCTTCCGTAATCTCCGCGTAGCACATATTTTTAATTTCCGTTTCAAATGGGAGTGACTACCATATATTTTAGCGACATGGCAACGGAGCGTTCCGGGAACGCCTCCGAAAGGTGAGTGATTAAGCCATGAGTAGGTCGGGAAACGCTCCATGTGGGGTCTGATACACCAAAAAAAATTGTTCTTTGTGATTGTTTTCCTTTAATCTAAATCTTGGATAAATTTATTAATTAAAAGGGAAAGATTTCTTAGAAAAATATCAGGTAATGCTCATATGCATTGCAACCTCGATATTTATATATTATAAAGAAATAAGGTTCAAAAGTAATGTTCTTTAAACTTAAATACTAATTCTTAATTTCAACTTTAGGCAATACATTTAAATATTTGAATTACGTTTATGTAAGTAACTGACTTTAAGTATTGAAAATATCAAATAAACTGAAACATTAAAGTGTATCAAATGCATATTCTCCGCATCTATTAAAGCCAAGTTCATGCCATGTATGCACTTTAATTTTACCCCGTGCTGCTTTCAAATCGCTCTGCAAACTAGTTGGCCTTTTTAAGTGAACTCCCCGGTGAAGCAGCATTTTATTATTCTTGCAATATTTTTGGGGGAGGCCAAAGCCACGCCCTGTTGCACCATTTGCATTGTGTGGGTGCGCCGGGCGTTCCAAAAATGCGGATGCCACCTCCGAAAGTTGGCGGGAGTTCAGCAGCATGCATATATTAACATGAAATTACAGACAGAAAACGGGCAAAAGGCAAGGCGAAATGGCTTTAAGAGTTCCTGAATTTGTTTTTTGGGCTCAAATGCAGAAAATTCAGTGAGTGCAGCGGACAAGATGCTCCCGATTGCGATGCAAATGGAACGAGGGTCACTTCCGGTTTGCAGCATCTTAAAGCTTTAAGTCCTTAGAGCTTGACACCAGCAGTAGGATGCACATGCCTTCGCATTGATTGGCGGTTTTGGGGTACTTCCGTTCTGGCGGTTTCCCTCAAAGTCGGTCTCTTTGCCCATTCAGGCGTGACATAAGCCGTCAGTTAATAATGCGCATTATAAATGAGACAGCCACACCCCGGGTGCATCCAACTCCCCAGGTCTCTCCAGATCACACCGCAAACTTGTCGGATTGATGGGATACCCGGATAGCCAGGCCATCTTAGTCATCGCAAGCCCGGTGTGCCAGTTAATTAATTAACATCCATCCAGTGCGAACTATTGCATAATTGAGTAAACAGTAGATGCCTGATAAGAAAAATACTATAATACCGGAACTTATCTGCTTACGGCATTATTTCTGAATGAATATATTGAAGAGGGCCTGATAGCTGGATAACTCTAGACTGGTGGGTGATAACTGGTAAATCTGGATAACTGAAGTGTGAAACTAATTGAGTTATTTGCCTGATAGGTGAGTAAAGAACTTTTCTACACAGAACAGTGGCTAAGGAAAGTGTTGTCAGAAGGAAATGAGACTTACAGCAAATTAAATGTATTTAATTCAAGTTATTCATATGGTTTAGATATTTTAAATAAATTATCTAAGAGCAAAGATAATCGTACTTTTAAATTCGACTATAAAAATTAAATGGATTTACCTTATATTTCTCTTGAATATGTAAGCTTTATTTTAATTTCTAGATGATTTCATAATCTCTTAAGAATTTATATTGAATAATTTCTAAATTTCATTTTAGATTAATATGTACTCGATCTTATTTTCCCCTCTTTCTCACTCTCTGGCATACTTCCCATCACTTTCTGTCGCCGCGGCCTGCGGTCATCGTCCCTGACCTTAGACACACACAGACCGAGGGTTGCAAAAAATAAACCAAAAACAAAAAAAAAAAAAGAGAATCACAGTTGAATTTGCGTTCGGGCGTTATCACGCTTATCACACTTGTTGGTGCTCCGCCACGTGTTCGATGTCTTTCGGTCTGTGCAACTGTCATAAATCTTGCATACGCCCCGTGGGCATGCGCGGTTGCTGTTCCATTGCCAAAGTGTTTCCCAAAAACGTCGCACCATTCATGAATTCAGGCGATGTTTCCTGGCCGGAGACTCGGGATGCTGCTTCTGCTGCCAAGGACTGAACCGGGCCAACAGACTGCTGTCTGGGGACTTGGCTAAGTTCAGACAGTTTGCGGTGATTCCTTCGACGAGGCGGTTGCAAGCACGGCTCACGAGTGGCTCGTCCTATCGCGGTGTTAACTAAGGAGAGAAGACGCCAAAAAATACTCGTATGCTGGCTGGACGACGACGACCAATGACCACGAATTAGCCACAGTTAAGAGGCTCTAACGCATTGCCGAACTAGCTGGCCGGGAGTCTATGCGGCTGGAGTTGGCAAAAGTTTCCCTCAAGTGTTGTTAAGTGCTGCAAAGTTTGCCGTGATAGTTAAGTGCGCTCTCGTAACTGAAACTCGGCCGATTCGGGTTGCCTCACACGTTGGCATTTTCCGCATCCACAAGTAATTTTTTTATATTCCGGCCCGGGATGCCTGTCAAAATGTTTTGGCCCCAACTTTTCGTACTGCTACTGCTGCTGGCCCCGCACAACAACAATTGAAGTTTTGACAACGAAATTTAGTTAAGCCGTGGTTTCATATATATTTTTTTCCTTCTGGCTCGGCCTAGCCCTAGCGTGGAGGTCGCGGTAAAAAATAGTTTCGAACTTTTTGCAGCCTTTCGATCCTTGTTTGGTTAACTACGTGTACGCAAGCAAAGTGAACAGATTGAACGTGTGATGTGAATGGTAAGTGCAGCAGATGCAGTTCAATTTCTGTGGAAAAATTCCGAATTTTTCTCAGGTTTCCCTCTCAAAAATACAACACAGAAAAAAATGAGAAATATACAGTTTGTTCTTCGTCAAAACTGATTGGCATTGAGTGAAAAGACAAAAGGATTCTTGTGTATCAAAAGAACAAAGAAAAAAAAAGCATTCTTGATCAAGTTGCACTGCTCTCAAAGTGCCAAGAAGCATTTTCTTGAATTAATATTGAAGTTAGGTAAATTGAAATTGAAGGCTTCTTCCTACTAAATTTCTAGCAATTAATTTGAACAACAATTTTGTGAACTTCTCGGTGTAGTGTTTGCTTAAAGTATTTTAAGCTTGAGTATTTATGTTACTCTTACTTTTAATTCCTCCCTTTTTTAACAAGTTCATATTTTCATTGATTTTAAATTTCTTTCTTAGTTCCTTCTCAAGTCCAATTATGTATGCTTGCAAATGGCCAAAAACCTAATTGTCATTAAGCCAAAGCCAACTGAAAACCGAAATTTGCAAAGATCTGACAGCTTCTCTGTGGGGTCCTTTGTTGGGCATTTGCATGTACCTTTGGCAAAATGTGTTATACTTGTGGTAATTGCTACTTTATTGCATCTTCGTGTCCCCATTACGAAATGGACACGAGGAGCCCCCAAAGAGGAGTCCCAAAGGGTCGGACCCTTATTGGGTATCCATCCGCATCCGTTGGCTCTCTTAGGGGCATAAATATGCTCACAGTTTTGGGACAGGGACACATTACAATACCCGAGAATGTGCGTGTCGCATCTATAATTAAGTGAATATAAAGCATCCTGGGGGGCATGGCATGGCCCGGAACACAAGGAGGCATTCCAAGCCTCCCACATATTTGGCAAAACATTTGCACCAGAAATTGAACATGGCGTCCTGGTCGTTCTGGTCGCGGAGAATGCCCTTAGTTATCTGTGAGTGGCATTTACCATTTCATTCCGGTTGAAAGGGTATGCAATCAGACATTTTATGGAGACACTTTTGATCTTTCACCTTCTGAGGAAATATTCACTGAGGGAAAAACTTTATAAGATCATTTCTAGATAGCAAAATCTGTATATATATTATTAAGGGATTAAAATAAGGGAGCTTGTTGATTCCCTTTCAAATACAAAATTATTTTCTTGCGTTTTCTGAACAATTTCAATTGATTTTTAACCCCACATCTATTTACCATTTTCCCTTTTTGAGTTTCCTAAAAACTGCAATTGATTTTGGCGGTGCCCGTGTGCTTTCAGCCATAACCTTTAACCAATATTGTTCGCTTGGCCTGGACAGACTGTGCCGTTTGGTATTTTGAAATATTTCCTCGAAATGTCAATACCGACATTCTGCCCTCCATTTCGGCCAAAACATCAAAGGGACCCGACCCGCTTGGGGTACTGGAGTTGGTCCATATAAATGCGGACAAAGCCACACGTAGCACAACACACATGGCCAACAGCAAGCTTGGCAAGTCAATTAAATTAGCCGTAATATACGGCAAATGTTTGCCTAGTTACTGTTGCTTCACCGCCACCAGACTTGGACTCGGACTCCGCCTCCGCCTGCTCCTTTGGCTCCTGGATCTGGCATTGTCCTTGTTTGCTCTTGGCTGCTCATGAGTAATATGCACACATAATTATGAAAAATACACAAAGCACTTGGCCGAACTACAGTGAAGTCTGGCTGAGATCCACGCTGCTTAAATCGAGGTCGAGTCCTTATTCTGTTTATTTTCATATCTGGCCTACGCAGTCCTTTGTCTGCGGAAGTCCTGCCTTAAAACAACAGCAATACATCTGGCTAAAAACAACCACCGCCGCAGGACAAATAAAATAATTACTGCCCGGGCAGTAAACACAAATTTTACTGGTAATAAATTTTGCAGACTCTTGAATATAATTTACGTCCAACGGCCCATTTAACACTGATGCACTGCGTCATCTGTGGCTAAATTAACCAATGATTGAGTTTCTTAGCTTGGATAAACAT